GATTCGCATACGTAGACAAAGCATTCTCCCCTCCCTTTCCCCATCATTGTCCCCCTTACCTTTTCCCCCAAGGCTCATTGATTTAGATAGTAGAGGTCATCAAGTCCAACCTCCTCATTTTATAGATGAGGAAACTGAGGCCCAGAGAAGGGAAGAAACTTGCCCAAGGTCACACAGCATCTGAGGCAGAATTTGAACCCAGGTCTTCTGCCTCCAAGTCCAGCATTGTGTCTGCTATACTATGCTGTTGAATGTCTAGCCATCCTTTAAAATTCATCTAAAATGTCTCTTTCATCATGAAACCCTCTGAAAGCTGTTCTATGGCCTTGTGCTCATTTCACTTTGATTCTGACTGCTCCGGGAGGCTCAATCACTGGAGAGTTGCCTCTGTTCAAATAGGATATTGGACTAGAGCAGGCACCATCCTTCCTTGGGCATGCCTATGGTTGCCAGGGGAAAAAAATTGTTTTCCATTTTCCTTAGAGTCAGTTGCTTGGCACTAGGCTGGCCACACTAAGAGAAATTACAATGTCAGAGAGCACCCCAGGGTTGCTTCTCAAGCTTGGGGTGATGTCACAGCTTCTAGCGATTCCAGGTGAGCTTGATATGATGGAAAATGGTTGATTTGTCCATTAACTGGGCACTCGCTATGAACTAGGCTTCCATTTATGGCCAGGGCCGTGAGAACTCAGGCTCATAGGAAGGGCCTCTATGTCTCTGAAGCCATTTCTGATTCATCAAAGGGAGATAACTGGGGTGAATCTAGTTTTTAGCGTTATGTGTAATTTTACTTAGGATCATAGGATTTAAAGCTGGAAGGGGCTTCAGAGACTATCTAGTTCAGGGATTCTTTATTTGAGATCTAGGAACTTTTTTTTTAAAGATATTTTGATAACTATATTATGAATAACTGGTTTCCTTTGTATTTCATTTCAAGCATTCCAAAACCTTATTCTGAGATGGTCTCACCAGACTGTCGAAGGAGTCCATAACACCAGAAAGGTTAAGAAGCCCTGATCCGGTTCAACCCTCTCATTTGACAGATGGTAACACTGAGGCCCAAGGTCACACAGTTGCCCAGCAGTTGGAGGCCAGGTTCTCTGCCTTAAAACCTAGTGCTCTTTCTACTATACCATGACAGCCTGAGAAATCATGGATCTACCCACCCCAACCTTCATATCCCCACTCTAGGAGATAGTCGGGGAATTGTTGGGCCTGGGCAATTTATCACCTGGTAGCCAACAATGAGACTTCAGTTGGAATGGACTGAACACTGGGCCTGTGCTTGAAGCCTTTCCAGCCAGGCAAGAACTACCAGAATTTGCCCTTTGCAGGATCCCATAGTCTTCAGGATCCCAAGGTCATTGCTACACCATTTGAAGGTATCAGAGAAGGACTCTGACAGAGACTCTTACATGAGGACCTTCTTCATTTCCTCAGCTGCTAATGCTTCTTTCCCCAAATGACCATTTATTTACTTTGCTTGTATTTTAGATATAATTACAAATGGACATGTTGGCTCCCCCAACAGAATATAAGCTTCTTGAGAGCAGGGACTCTCTCATTTTTGTCTTGTATCCCCAATGTCTAGCAAGGTGCTTAGCACACAGTAGGCAGTGAATAAATGCTTGACAGTTGATTCCACTGGAACCTAATTCCATGAAGTTTGGATAATAGGTACACCTGATAATATCCTAGCCACCAGAATGTTCCATTCCTCACCTGTGCTGGATGACAGAGAACAGGTCATGTGCCAATGGAGTATAGGGTAGCATAGATAAATAAAGGCCATGGATAATCCCAAAGCTACTTACGTTTGGCTTCAGAATGTAAGTGCCAACCTACATTTATATAAATCCAGATTTGCCAACCAGATCAACCAGATTTGCCAACCAGATCAAGGTAGTAGTTACTCATTTTAAAAGAGATGCTTCCTCTTAGAAAAGGACACAGCATCACATTCGTCTAATCGATAACCTTGTCTCGTGGATTTAAAATAAGTTTTGATTTCCTCATCTCCACTTCTATACTCCTATGATAACCTCGAAGTAGTGGGAAGGTGCCCATCACTGACCTATAAACCATGGCTGCTGTCTGAGGACTAAATGAACTAAGCTCAGAGAAATTCACCATTGGTCACCCACCAGGAGATGGACTTTTTTCATAGGAGCATAGATTTAAGGAGGGCCCGCAGGGACCATCTACTTCAACCCCACCATTTTACAGAGGAGGAAACTGAGGCCAAGGGAGGTTTGGGAACTGGCCCAAAGTCCCATGTAGGATCCTAGATTTCAAGCTGAAAAGGATCTCAGAAGCCATCTAGTCCAACCTCCTCATTTTACAAAGGAGGAAACTGAGGCCCAGTGCAATTAAATGACTTGCCCAAGATCACACATTGGATCATAGATTTAGAACTGAATGAGTCATCACAGGCCATATAGTCCACAGCAACTCACAAAGACCATCCACCCAGGTGGACAGCAGCTGTGATGTGGTTTGGTGACTACAAACACCCATGAAAGCAGAGATCCTTGAAATATCAGAGTTAGTCCTGATTTCCTTGAAACTGACAGACTTTATTCAGGAACATATCTACAGCAAAACTTTCCTCATTCCATGCAACTCAGGCTATTGTTAAGGCAGGTTCTTGTTCTGAAAGCAGACCCTCCTTGGGAGGGGAGGGGCTACTGGCTCAGGATGAAAACTCCAATTGCTATGTCTGATCCAGAAAGTAGAGAGAACCCATTCTCCTTGAGAATTGGGAGTTGAGGATGCTACCTTGGAACACTGACTGATTTCTTGCTGCTGTGAGGAAAAGGGATGTTAACAAACATTCTATTTCATGGAGATCAGTGATTTTAACACTTCAACATTCTACCCTGTAGAGAGGAAACAGGGCTTGAATTGGTGCCCTATTACTAGTTTTCTAGCACTGAAGTATTATGGGAGCTTACTAATTCTTTTTCTTTTGAGCAATGCCTGCCCTTCATCTTTGAAGAGGGCACCATTAATGAAGCTCCACTCTATGTGGATGTAGCTGTGGCCACAAAGACACAGGGCCAAGAGTTTCGGTCACTTTTGTGAGAATTGGGACAAAGCTGATGGGGATCCTGCTGCCAGGACTGGCTCTATGTACAAGGACAGGCTTACTTACAGGGGTATTGAAAGGCCTCTCTGAATAACAAAATCTCCCACACTGGCCTGTCACAGTGCTCAAAATTAGTCACTCTTTTGGGCCTTAGCATTGTAGACTCTTGTCAGAACACAAATTTGTCATCTGAGGGTGATGGCACGTCAAACCAGAGGCGTGGGAACCTCCCAATAATGATGAGCTGGACCTTAGCTTGATAGCTTTCAGGGTAGCATTATTCTAGTTACTGCTACTATAGCCCAGAGAAGAATTTCTCCTTGGTGGCTTGAATGGCTACCCTAGTCAAAGGGGAACCTTTGAAAGTCGAAGGATAAAAAGCAGTTGAAGAACTACAGACAACAGTTAATTAATTAGAATTTCAGAGCACAGATGTCCATAGCCCAAGTGGAGAGCAAACTGCGAAAAATGAATATTACTTAATACTTCAAAACCTACAGAGCCTCTTTCCTTCCCTCTCCCTATTTTCTTCCTTCTTCTTTCTCCCATTCTCATACATTCTTCTCTATTTTGCTCTGTGTTTCTCTCCCTCTCAGCAGTGATCTCTCTCTTCTTTTTTTGTCCTCTGTCAATCTTTCCCTCTCTCCCCATTTGTCTTTTTCCCTCTCTCCAGCCTCCCAGTCTCTCCTACTATTTCCCTGTTCCTCTCTCTCTACTCCTCCTTTAACCAGCCATTAATAGGAAATGAAAGGATATTTGAGAATATTTGTTATATTTACTCAATACCGTTTTATGCTCATGGGTTTTATATGTCTTGACCTCAAAGGAAATCTAACTACATTAAGCTGCTTCTAGGTTTCTTGTGGCCCTTGATTGATTTTTTTCCTCTGTGGGCCAGAAGTACTTGATAGGATAAAGATTTTCCACCACCACATTAAGACATGAGCATTGTAGCACAAATGTTTCTAATCTTGTTAAAGATAACACCCCGAAGGTCTGGGGCGCTAGACAGATAGATTGTGATGAAGCAAGAAAGCAGGAGAGTAATCTGAATTCTAGAGCTGGAAGGGACCTTAGAGACCAGCCAGTCCAATCTGGCTTTAGATCTTGAGGCACCATTTTGGTATGGAAGATCTGGGTGGGCCATGGAAAGGACAGCTAGCATGGGGGCCTCAGGGCCCTGAGCACTGGCCACACAGAGGGAGAAAGGGTTGGAGAGAGTCACATATTGCCCCTGTGGCCCAGACAACACAGTCAACCTGAAGCCTTTGCTTCAGGGAGCTAAGGATCTCACCAAATCTAAGCTCAGGAGAGCAGGCTTCCTTTCATCAGCAACTCATATGCCATGGTTCAGGCCTGAGGGCCTGCCTTGGCCCAAGTCGGAGCCAGGGGATGGGAAGTTAGTGGGTGGTTGACTGAGTAGGTGAGTGGCTGGCTGGGTGAGTGGGTGGGTAGTTGGGTAAATGAATGGGTGGCTAGGTTGGTGAATGGGTAGCTGGGTAGCTAGATTAGAATTCAGCTTCTTAAACTGTGGAATCGCAACCCCATGGGGTCATGACCCATAGTTTAAGAAGTGATGAAGGGGTCTTGAGTAGAAAAAGTTTAAGAAGCCCTGGATTAGATGAGTGAGTGGGTAGGTAGGTGAATGAGTAGTTGGGTGGGTAGGTGAGTGAGTGGGTGGCTGGGTGAGTGAATGAGTGGTTAAATGACTTCATGACTAGTTGGGTATGATGAACATGAGCATGGGGAGTCTGGAGAGCGGAATTGTTCCAGGCGACTAACCGGACATCAGAACAGAGAAGCCGGATTTTCTTTACAATTTTATTTACAAAAATGTACTAAAACTGTTCGTACAATACCCCATTACATCGAGGCTTGGGAACTTTTGCCCACACATGCAATTTATGCTTCGATAGCCATTAGTGTGCTTGGAAATTTTTTCGTTCACTCGAGTGCAGTTTTAATGACAAAAGGAAAAGAACCTCTAAAGAAACTGAATCCTCAAGTCTCTACTGCGTGAACTCTCATAGCTTAAAGTTAGTAGCAGGAAGTTGAAGCAATTGATACTTTTTAAAATTTTATACATGCAAATTTAAAAAAATAACAAACCAATTTACCGGCCCTTCACCCTGGTGAAGTTTTCATGCCAAGAAATGGAATAGCTTACATGAATGGCCGTTTCTCTCTGTCCGAGGCTGGTTTGTCGCTTTGTGTTATACAATGTTGTCACGCACAGCTGTAGCTTCCCACTGTAGGGGATGATATATAGCATTCCAAAGTTGAAAATCACAGTTTCGTGAAAAAATGGAAAAAACCCCACAACAGTTTTGTCTTGTTCAATACCATTTTAATACTTGACAGGTGAGTTCTTCTCTTTATGAAACAGTTTTGGGAAATGATATTACACTTTCCTGGTAATGTTTCATCCGACAGGACTTTTTGTCTCTCTTTCCCTTCTGAAGACTGAGTTTAAAACACTCAGCATCTGGGCCTAAGAGTACAACTTCGGGAAAAGACTCAAATATGCCCAGTCTTTCCAGTCTCCTAACTTCCAATCTGCACTCATCATCAATGAGCTAAGACTACAAAATTGCAGAAAGCAGACTGCTATATAGGAGGTAATTGATTAGTGCATGGAGACTGTACTTGTTTAGACTTTTCAGTTGAATCCCACAGTACAGATGCATCTATTTACTTATTTACGGATGGAGTGAAGTGGGCCTCTGACAGAGCACCCCAGTGGGGAGACTGATCCATCTTGAGGCTCCCAAGTGAGCGGTGCTGAGGATCTCTGTTTAGCGTAGGATCAATTTTAGCGTAGGATTAATTTTTAAATTTTTTTTAGCCTTCGCCAACTAGAAAAGGACACATGCAGTCTGGGATGGAGTGTCACGGGCAGTCACAGGCAACAGGTGAGGTCTAGCAAGAGTGAAGTGAGCTGGAGAAAGCGCCTAGGCTGAAATGGTAGGCCCTCTGTGAAAAGCTGTCCTATTTCCACTGGTGGACACTTGAAAGGCATACTTATCAGAGAAAGCAGAGCTAAAACACAGTGTTGTTTCTGAGAAAAAAGTGATTCTAAACACAACTTGGAGCAGCATCTCCCTCACCTAAATGCTTGCTAGCTCTTCAGTTATGGGGGATCTCAATACATACAGAAAGCAAGAAAAAGTGATTGGGCTTCTTGGAAAGCCACTCAAAATCCACTGGAATAAAAGCACCGAGAGGTATGCCTGATAGAAGGAGTGTCCTGTTCCCTTGTCACCCATGGGAGAAGGAATGGAGAGCGCAGTTAATTTCTTCACCAACTGAGAAATCACAGAAGCCTTCCAATGAATCTGGTTGCCAACTGTTGAGAAGTCACGGGTTAGTCTCTTTGTCCAAAGTGTTTGAATTCTCTTTTTTCAGAGGGTTGTGTTCATGGTCAAAGGATATACACATGTTGGGAACGTTGAAAGGATATAGGGCATATAGAAAATCTCCACTGTTAGGGAATACCAAAAACATCTGGGCAGCAGCTGACACCAGAAGTGCCAGTCTGGTTTCTCAAGCGATGGGAGACATAGACTGGAAATCATTTTCGCTAAGATGGAGCATGGGTAGGGGAGGGGGATGGTATTCAGAGAAATGAACTCAGGGAAATTGGTTTTGTTTTGTCGAAGAACAGGATGCTCATTTACTGTGTACATGATACATAGTGGGATATCAAAGAATGGCTTTTGTGGGACTGCTTGTTTTTATAAGAATTATTTCCTTTTTTCCATATGAGAATCTTGCCCATCCACCTTGTATGTGTATGTTAGTTTGTTTGTGTGTCTGTTAGATTTTCAAGCAAAGCAAGAATATTTCAATGATGATTTGCATTGCTGCAAGTCTCAGAGTGTTCCATAAGGCACTGAAGGACAAAAAAATCAGTTTTTCCTATTGAAAGGTCATTGCACCATCAGCAATATTCGTGTCATGCCTGACACCAAGGAGAGAGAAAAATCTGGCTCAGGATCCTTGAAGCAGCCACTTTTTCGGTGAATCGTCCTGTCACATGCTCCCAGTGGGGAGGGACCTGCAAAGGCAAGTGGGAGATTCAGCAGTGCCCCGAGGCTGGGCATCCCCTGGCTAAACCCCAGGGTTCTACAGTTCTCTGACTGGCACCAGCCCGTGGAACTGCTCCCCAGCTGGTGTAGGCCCTCATGGGCCCTCATGTAGCCAGTCGGACCATTTTCTGAAGTTTGATGCCCAAGGTCAGCTAGGCAGGGCCTGAGCTACCCTGCAGGGCTTCCTAAAGACCCTGGGGCCTTAGATACTTGGTTGATGGCTTAGGTTGTTTGTAGGATAGAAACCATCTGTCACGGGCACTGAGATGCAAAGGTGAAGGACTGATCTGATTTGGTAATGTCATTTCCCTGTGGAGAGACCTTTAGTGTCTTTCTTACCTTTAAGGACATGTACAAGGTCCCCCTCTGGCATTTGAGGTCCACACTGATCTGCTTCTAACCTGATTTTCTATCTTCATCTCACACCACTCTCCTTTATATATGCTACATTCCAGCCAAACCATGCCCATTACTATTCTTTCACTTCATCCTGTTCTATCTCACCCCTGTGCATTTGCACAAACCTAGACTGTACTCCAGTATTTCCCATGTTAAAATCCTACTTTTCCTTCAAGACCTAACTTCCTAACCTAACCAGAAACCTTCCCTAAACCTTTCACTAAGAAATGATTCTCCATGCCTATGCTCCCCCCATCTTGAATCTCTCAGGCCTCTTGGTTTTATCTTTCTTATTCATTAAAATTGAGAGACTGTGTGACTGAGGTTGAAGATAGAACTGCTGCCTTGAAGCTTGAGGTTAGAAGACCTGGGTCCAATTCTCGTCTCTGACACATCCCAGCTGTGTGACCCCATGGGCAGATTGCTTACCCCCTCTCTGCCTTAGGCAACTCTCTAAGACCAGACATTACAAACGAGTTGCCCATCAGTAGAGGGAATTTTCACCTGGGAGTTCCCTATACTAATGAAATCATAGGACTGGGCCCCAAACCCCACCAGTGTACTTAATCATATTCTAACCTGCAATAGAGACAATTAGGTGTATGTCTAACCCATACCACTATACTATAAATCCCTTAGAAAACTCTACAGACTTGTGCTCTGCATAGACTAAGCATTTAATAAAGGTGGATCGAATGTGTTTTCTGTTGAGGACATATACATTTTGTGCCCAAGGTATGCTCATTTCAGAGCCTATATAGCAAGGAAAAATGTTTCTTGTAGAGGAATTAAGTGTTTTCCTGTGGCCGCTCCTTTTGCTTGAAAGGTTACAGATGGTTTCTCTCCTATCCACAATCTAAGTTTTTAGAGTTTTAAAGTTGGAAAATAAAAAAGCAAATTGTCCAGCGACTTGATATGCCATTGCAGGGATGTTCGCTTTGACGCCACGTTGCCCAGTGGAGATGCAGGTCACATGTGGGTCCCTCCCTCCCCTTCAGTCCCAGCACTGATTTTCACCCCTGTGGGACAGCACGACTATGGCCTGCTTGGATGACATGTCCCCTCCTCATGCTAGGAGTGACTACAGGACTTAGTGGAAAGGGCATTGCAGACATTGCCCCCTCCCATCTCCAAGCCCCAAAGCTCTCTTCCAGAGCTCTGAACCAGACAATTTCAGAAACGTGAACAAATAGGCTTTCCTTGGCTAAAGGCTCCAAGCACACTACTTCCTGTTGGCTACTGGGTAGACCAGCTGCCAGGCCTCAGAAAAGCCCTCTGTGCCTGTCTCCCCATCTGCCAAACAGGGCTAGCAATCATCCTCCCTCTCTTCCAGGATGCTGCAAGGATAAAGTGAGGTCTCCGAAGGGAAAGGACTTTGGGAAAACACAAACGCAATACAAACTACAGTAACACCTCAGGCACCCAGCAAAGTGGGGAAAGATGGGATGGGTCACTTAGTGTCATGTTTTCAGTCACCAAAGGTCGACCCATTGAGGCAATGAAGTGATGACCCCTCATAGCCTGTAGGGACTTGTTTCAGAAATGTTTCCAGGCTCATCTTATATTTGATCATTTTCAACATTCAGCACCTCCAAAGAAGCCCAGTAGGAGCACTCAGCTCAGATTACCTGAGAGAATAAACCTAGAGGGGAAAATGAGATCCTGTCTCCAAAAGTCACACTTGCTTCCAAAGTCGACAACAGCAGAAAGAAGACCGGCTCTGCAGTCAGGGGACCTGGGTTCAAATCCGACCTCTTACGCTTATTACCCTGTGGGACCTTGGGCAAGTCAGTTAACCTCCCTATACCTCAGTTTCCTCCTCTGTAAAATTAGAGGAGGTTGGACTAGATGGCCTCTGTGGTCTCTTCCAGCTTTAGAGCTATGATCTCTGATCTATGCTCTATCACATAATCATTGAGAAATAACCAGTATTTTAAAAATAGAGTCTGATTAGAAATGTAAGAAGCCAGAGGGAGTTGTGAAAGACAATGGGGCCATTAGACAGTACTTGTAGCGGAAAGAATGGTGGAGCTTTGAATCAGAGAGAACCTGGGTTGAAGTCCTGGCTCTGCCATTGACTAGCTGAGCGGTGTTGGGCATGTTTCTTCTCCTCTGCTCTGAGCCTCAGTTTTTTCCTCTGTAAAATAAGGGGGTTGAACTAAGTAGACTTTGAGGTCCCTTTCAGCTCTAGATCTGTGATCAGATGTGTGACCTTGGGCAAGTCACTTGGCCTCACTGGGCCGCGGTTTCCCCATCTGTAAAATGAAGGGGTTAGACTACTAGATGGTCTCTGAAGTCCCTTCCAGCTGGAGGTCTAGGATCCTATGTGTGACTAATGCACCAGTCACATCACTTCCCTGGGCCTCAATTTCCCAATATGTAAAATGAGGCGGTTAGACTAGATGACTTCAGAGATCCCTTCGAGCTCTAAATCTGAAATCCTTCAATTCCCAAGACTACATCCAGGCTGCAGGAGAAGGCCGAAACTTCCCAAAGTTCTTAGGAAATGAGAGGCTTTTTGTTGACCTAACTGGTGTCCTCCCAACAAACGCTTTGCCAAACTCACTGCTGGCATTCACTACTGGTTTTCCAGTCCAGCTGAGATTTGTGCACTGCCACAGGCAAAGTCTATTCCAAAGACTTAGGAGGCTTTTCCCTTGTTCCCACAGGCCTCTGACAGGCAGCCTTAGAGGGCAGCCCTTTGGGCCGACGCTCTGCCCTGGCTTCAGGCCTGCCATGGTTGTCTGGGTGCTAACTGGGGTGTTACTGTATTGCTGTTCGTCCATCAAGACACAATCTTTTCTCATTTACTCAAGCCTCAAGAAGCAGGATTTTGCTTTGGGGGAAGGAGCTCATCCAAGGGCACGAGACTGAAGCCAAAGAAAAGGGCAAAAGGCAAGCTCTTCTTCTTCTAGGGCACCTACCTCAGGTCTATGTGCTTCTATGCTTCTGCTCAGTAACTCTGAGGTCCAATGTTTGCTGATTCCAGGGTTTGCTCAGGCCCCTTCCCTTGGGGTATGTTTTTTTCTTGAAGGCCAGTAGACGCTTCAATAAGGTATGGAGGTCATGGTTCCTGAGCACCCATGACTGGGAGCCATGCTGGGACACTCTTGGGTGTAATGGCAGCTGCCCCAGCAGATCCAAAGGTCCTGGGACAGTAATCCCCCTCAGCCCTCCAATGACAGAATAAATCTGGGTTGGGAAGGAGGGAAAGAGGGACCTGAGCATGGAGTCTCATGAGCCAGAAGGCCTTATCACCAAGTAGACCATAAGGGGGATGAGGACAGGGAGGAGCCTGGCCATGTTTTCCCTTCCCCTCCAGAGCTTTCCTTTGAAGAATCGAGCATACAGGTCTAGACTTGGCTCTCCATCTAGCTGACTCCCATGTTAGGCTCCTGAAGGTCACCAACAGGACCTGGGCAATTACAGAGGCATGATGATCCAGTAGAAAGAGCATTCCCACTAGGAATCAGGGAACCTGGGTTCCAGCCTTGGCTCCCCTACTTGGTAGCTGTGTGACCTTGGGCAAGTCACTTAGCGTCGCTGGCTCTCAGTTTCCTCCTCTGTCAAATGGGCATCATAGTACCTTTCCTCAGATGAGGTAACAGATGTGAAAGCATTTTGGAGCATTAAAAGCTTACTATCTCAATGCAAGGTATCACTCATTTTGACCCCACTAATTCCAAATCTGGGATAATTTGAGGGGGGCTGGGCTGAAGTTTGCCTTTGCACTGTTCTGTGAAGAGGAGGAGTTGCTAAGCAAATTAAAAATGTGCACAACATTGCAAAGGGTATGTGTAACCTGCTCAGGAGAACAAAATGTTTTTAAGGACATCGACACATTAAGTGTTTGCATGCAAATGGATGATGCTAATTAAAAATGAGTTCATTATTTTTTTTTTCCATTCGGTAAAGCAGGCCCCGCTGAACTTCTACTTGAAAACACTGTTAGTAACCTTTTGTGACTATGTTATGACTTAAGATCGAAAAGTAGCTAATGTCTGTAGCAGCAAAGAACAAAGAGCAAACTGAGGAACCAAGATTCTGTTTCAACTCAAATAGTGAAGGATAATCATTTGTTTTAAAAAGCCTTGGAGGGATGGAATTGGACTGATGGAGAGATCGGCTGCCCTGAGGTCGTGGAATGGAAGGAGAGTGAGTGGAAGCTCTGGAACAATAGCCACGAGCTTATGGGCACCAACGGCTTTAGTCAACACAGAACAAAGGATTATCTAATGAGTGGACTCACTCATTGTTCTTTTCTATTGCAGACAGCAGTTTGGTTATTAACTATGGCATGTGTACTGAAAGGTATTAAAAATCGATTCCTGAAAAGATGTCTATAATCAGACCTTTCCCTAATTCAAACTGGCCTTGCAGCTGGTCTGAATCAGGTGAGGCTTTGCTGTAGATCTCTAGGTCCCAATGGCCTCCAGCAGCAGAAGTCTGAATATAGATGGGGAGGGTGGGGGGAGGGGCAGGGAGGAGGAGTTTGTTTCGTGTCCTCCAAGAAACACTTACCTGAGCATGAATTCTTGGGGGAGGGAAAAAGGGGGAAAATATGACTCAAATATTGGAAAAAAATGGTCCCTGGACTCAAATGACTGTTTAAAGAATCATAGACTCCCTTTGGGATCACTTCACTTCATTTCTGCTACTCATTTTTATCATCAATTACTGGACTGAGTAATGAGAATGGCTTCTCTAGAGACTTTGCTCCATGGTGGGAGAGGGGAAGGAGAAAGGGAAAAGGACCAGGGAATGCAATTCAATCACAAACATGTTACCCAGAAACTCAAGGAAAGCATCATTCATTATGTGTGACAAGAAAGGCACAGTTGCCGAATAGTTTTCAAAGAATCCAACAAACACTCTTTAGACTAGACATGGCTCGGAAGAACATCACCGAGCTGAAAAAGGAAAGGGCACACAATGCACAGCAACGAAAGGGCAATTAGCTTAGTCGTAGCAGGCCTTGGCCGTACCCTAGATCTTAACACTCTCTGTTCCATACACGTTGTAGCCTTCTCTGTAAGTGGCGTAATTCTGGGTGCTGGCGGCAGGAGCAGGCTTAAAGTTTTGAGTGTTCTTCGTGAGTTTCATGCGTTTGGATTCCGCTCGGGATTTGTAGCAGAACTCTATCAGAGCCACCATCATGGCCAGCCCCAGGCCTCCAACAAGGATATAGAATACGCCGGCCACGTTGCTCAGACTCAGAGCGCTGGTCTTGTCCTAAGAGAAATGGACAATGTGATCAGTTGGTGAGAAAAATCACAGGCAGTGGGACATCATCATGCTTTGCAACAGTTCAGGGCTGTCCTATGCTGTCAAGATAACTAAACACAGGCATAGATGGTATGGCTCAACCCTGGCAACTGGCTCATGTCATGCAATGAGTAGATTATGCTTCCATGGACTGGTATGATCCCAGGGGTCTACCACCTCAAAAAATATGTTAAAAGCACAACCCCCTGACAACTAGCTTTAGGAACCAAAGAGTAAATGGAAGCATAATTCATCCCTTTGCCAGCCTCAATAAACACCTATTGTCAGAGTTCAGTCATGACATCTCTTCATCTCTTTCTTTCTTTTTCTTTCTCTCTTTTTTCTTTCTTTCTTTCTTTCTTTCTTTCTTTCTCTCTCTTTCTCTTTTTCCCCCTCTCTCCAAGTAACACTTTTCATTTGGGAACCTAAAGTATTCTTTTCCTTCTCTACCCTGCAGTCCTTTCCCCCTCTTCTCCATGAAGCACTATATCTATCAGTCCCCAAAGCAATGGGTGAGAGTATTAGAATTTCCTAAAACTCTGAGCTGGGGACATTCTTTGCCAGGGTCTTTTATATCAGTGTTTGCTCCACTTCTTTCTCAGTGGTTGAGAGATCACTCTAGGACTAGCTTTGATTAGGGTGTGAAGCTTCTCTGCAATAGAAGTTAGTTTGTCAACGTCCTCCCAAGAGCTGCAGGGGCCTAGTAGGAGGCCCCTTTAGTCCCTGATTGGCTCCATTTACAAATCAGGGAACATTTCTAGGAGGCTGGTGATTTAAAAAAATACCAGCTCCTTTTAAAACTTGGATTTCAGTGAATGTCAAGGACAATCTTTAAAAATACTAAACTGATCATAAGCTTTCTGTATGCTAATTTTTAAAAATGAGGAAGACGGTCAGTTACTTTCAGGTCAGACTGCAAAATTTGACTAAGCTAAGACTGCATGAGAAAGCAAAACCTGGATTGCTGAATAATGGAAAGGAAAAAAAATTGCTACCTGGACCCCACCTTCAAGGTAGGACTGACCAAGGGAGGGAGGAGGGATTTTCATTGAAAAAGTAGCATTTTGTAATCTGTTTAGAGGGAATTGTAACCATTTTGCTACTGGATTCATCAGAATGATTATTACCCCAGTGGATTAAATTCCCTGTTTTAGCTATAAGGCAATAGGGAGCCATCAGGGATGCTGAGCAACAGGAGGAACATAGCCAATCCTTGGGTCTTTAAGGCAATTAAAGTTAAATGGGAAAGATTATACATTTGTATGACCATATCCACGTTTCTATTTCTTAGATGCTAGTCCTATACCTATTTGCCCTGACACAAAGGCCAATTGAAATTGGACTCTATGTGAAGGAGGATGGAAAATATCCCTATAAGCAACCCTGTGACTCATTGCTCATCTAGGTAGGAGAAGTGATAGTTTAAGTTGAGGAAGTAATTCATAATATATGCCACTTACAGCAACTTCTCAATTTTAGCTTGGCTCCTCCCCTGCCCAACCACCCCACCCCCCCAATCTCCTCACCCCAATCCCACTATTGGATTTTCATATGTGTTCCTTGACATGACCCCTATAAGCTGTGGCAACAAGAGTTCTGAATTTCATATAACTGAGCTCCCAGGCAATTATGCCATTTATGGCTGTGAGACATAGAGCTACAGTAGCAAAATGGTTCAGTGCATAGGGGAAATGAATGTTGGCGTTTCATGAAATGAATTAACCAATCCCACAATATTAGTTTAAAGAAAGTAAAAAGAAAAAAAAAACGGAAACTCAAAGGAAAAGAAAAACTTTCTTGGGGAGCAAAGGGATAGAGGGGTGGGGTGAGGGAGAGGCGGGGAAGAGTGTTTCATGCTTATCAATGTGATGTTAATCCTGACGATGTATACCCTCAACGAGCATGCGGCTAGACCCTAAAAGCGTTCCGAATAGCTTTGGAAGTGAGAAATGGGACAGACTTGGTGGTCTTCGAGAACCACCCAGGTGCTGGACTTGATTCAACAGCAGCTGGAATGAAGCTGATTCATGAATTCTTCCAGAGACCAGTCTGGTTTCCCGATTTGAGGGTGGGGCCAGCACAATATTAGAATAACCAAAAGTACTTACAACTTACAAAGTCTCTGATACTGGAAGAGAAAAAAAAAACTGTCGTGATTGGTTCTTTTTTTTTTGTGATTTTGGAATTGTTTTTCCTTGAGCCTTTAAAATGTAAAATACACTGGAAACCCCTTAGAATATACTGTGGGTCAAATCATGGCCTTTCTCCAAAAGAACTGGCATAATGCCGCCAGCCTGGTGTGATCCGGTTGGTCCCCAAGGCTCATTCTTGTTCCATTGCTTCAAGAGTAGCATTATAAGGGGGTCCCATTGTATTGAGGTAGGGTTATGTATGTTTGTGCTCGTGTGTGCATGTGCATGTATGTGCATGTGTGTGTGCATGTGCATGTGTGTGCATGCGTGTGTGCATGTATGTGTGTGTGTGTGCGGGTGTTGTTTTGGGAAAGCCATTTCAGGGGGAATCAAATAAACAGTGGGTCAAACTGCGATTGCTAATCAGTACAAAAAGACCGCCAGCGACTGACCTTACTCCCGGAGTCCTTGGCTCCGCACTCCCCCTTATCGTACCACCATTTGTTTTTCAGCTTGTCTAAGATGCCTTGTTCACTGAGTTTCAATACTGCAAGGTTTACAGGCGTTCTTCACGTGGGAAATAACATAAATAACATTATATTATGTTATTTTATGTTATTCAAGCTTCAAACTACTTTAAAACTATAGAAAGCGATAAAGCAGGGAGCCCTGGCCACGGTCATTTTAGACACTGCAGGCAACCTGAGCATTTTTACCTTATCAAACTTTACACTAGAGCATCTCTATATTTACCAGGGCCTGCCCATATCGCTTTGAGTAATCGGCACACACTGTTAAATAACGAGGGTAGAAAAACAAGGCAGTCACTTATTGGGGTGGGCTCTCTCTCCCCGTGGATGCAATTGTCTGACTGCCACTTACTGCGAGTTGGGTTTGATCTAACTGGGCATCTTGTTGGACTTCCAGACAGAAAGCATTTGGGGGCAAGGGAAGTAGCTGAGGAGAACAATGAGAAGGGAGTCCACATTACAGACAGAAAAGCAGAATGCAATAGATCAGACATTGTTGTTGTCATCGTCATTGTGTCCTCGTTGTCATCCCCCTCTTAAGCCATGTGAAGATAGCGGCTGAGGAAGTTCATTGAAACATTCATTGGAGAGGCCTGAAAAGGCCGTTAAGTCTTTGTTAATACCCCATGTATCTCTTGCCCCAAGGCACACCTAAGAGTACACACCTCTGTTGGTATCCTCCTTTTAGGGCTCATTGTGGGGTGGAGGTGACCCTGGGCTTTCAAGGGCACTGCCTGAGGAATTCCTACTAAGCTGTAAAGGTTTCTGTTCCAGGCTGAACCCTGGACTGTATGTCTGGCAGCTGAGAACCAACCTGGTTAAGTATGCAGAGGCTTACCACCAGAAATGGGGTGGGGGGGATAGGGCATCAAAACCAATTTTTTTTTCTTATAGAAACTCATGAAACTTGTCTGCTAAGGCCTGGAGGGGTTGGCCTTCCTGTGGGTGGTGGGAAGATTCAAGATCCAGGTTTTTGAAGCATCAAGGTAAATGTTGTACATGTGGCAACATTCTAGATATGCCACTCGTCCCTCTAGGTTACAAACGGGGGAACATGTTAGTCTGGTGAAAAGAGAAAACAGAGGGGCTAGACTCTGGATAGCCTTCTAATTTCTATGGCTATAGGACTGTAGCTGAGGTGCCTCCAAAGACACAGTTCATCCTTGGCCGTTGAAATGGCCACTTTGGATTCAAAGGCAAACCACTTGTGAGGCAAGCGACTGATAGCATAATACCAAGTAGTGCCAAGGACACTGTTGATTCCAGGGCTGTGTGGAGGAGCTAGGTGGCCTCTGCATGTGTCTCTAGTAGTGGGGGCCTCTTTGTGCAAAGAGACTGGGCAAAGTCCTCAAAGGTAAATTTTCTAGGCCCCATGTCCCCTCCAAATGGGCAAGAAGGTCATTTGCTGCCCCCAGTCCATCAGATGCTTGGGTGGGCCTGTCCCTGCCCTGGGGTAACTGACATTATCTCTGGGATTATTTTCTCATCTGACAATGACTGTGATGATTCTTGTCCCCTGTCTTCTCTCTAGGGAAGCTGAATGTTCAATGAGCCCAACTCATTGAGAATAGAGTTGCTTGGGTAAAAGGGCATTAGAGAAACAAGCACAGTGTTAGCTTATTATAAGGCAAAGTCAAAATAAGGAAACCAGTAGGAATTAAACAACTATTACATAGTCTGAATCATGAAAAAATATCATCAGCTGATGGTATCCTGACCAGCCCTGGTACCATAACTAACCGGCCCACTTACTCTCTATGGGAGATGACAAGGGTCACTATGGACATATCCCATAATGCTCTTCCCATCTTACAAATAAGTCTGACCAATCATCCTTTTTTGACCAATGCCAATCCTGCCACAGGCACAGAGAGCAGGCCTCTGGAGCTACCCTACTCACTGAGCCTCCTTGCCTCTTTCCCACCATCACCATCATAAGAGGGAGCAACTTTGCCTCCTCTAGTACCACTTTGCATGTGTAATGTGGCTTCTTAATTGAGGACCCTTAAGATAGTGGCAGGTTGATGACACAGGCTATTGTTGGATACTGGAGCCTGCATTTCATCATACAACTGGGAAAGTCTTTGGGGAGACTTCCCTTAAGTGCCCAGTGGCCAGGGTCTTTTGAATTGAGAAGCAGGAGGTAATTGATGAGGGTGCTATATCGTATGTAAAGCATTATGGGATGCCCCGAAGGAAGCTTGAAGTTCCATTATGATATTATCTGGGGCTGAAAACTAAAGGACTCAGGAGAACCCTTAATGCTGGGCCAGGTAACCTCTGATACTGATGTCTCTTGGGGCCCCCTGAGTCTTTGGTGTCTGGCCCATCTTCACTACTCTCAGACACATGTATTTCTGTCTGCCCCTCTTTATACAATAATCTCTTGCACATCATGACATTCCCCATCGCGGTTTCAATATATAGCGGGTTGGCATTAGAAATTAGATGGGAATTTTTTGGGAATCTTGTGGAAGGCGCAGACGACACATGAAAGCCAGCAGATGACACAGAAAAAGTTTAGAAACTCAGAAGTGCATAAAATATATGTATAGTATTGTATAATATCAACCTATTTGATCATTTAATACCACAATAATTCAGACTTCTTCTCTGGTACAAAGGGAGGGCCAAAAACTTCTACACAGATTTTCCAGATCGAGAGGGTACAGTTCTCCTAACCCCCGCAATGTGGAAGGGACAATTGTATTGTTCTTTTTCCTCCTTTTCTCTTCCTTTCTTCTCCTTTCTCTTTCCCCCATTTATTTTGCCTGTCTATGCTTTGGGCTGGGTCTACACAACCTAGGGCTGGTGGGCTTATCGGGAGGTGTGTCTCTCACCCCTTCTGGGCCTCATTTCAGTACCTCTCTCCAAACTCTTGACATTTCCTCTCCCTCTGCTCCAAGGTATCCTGGACCTTCATGGCCTTACTTTGGTTGGCTCAGGTTTCCTAATAGTGATTATCACTCTGCCACATTCCCTTTGCTTCAAAATTATCCCTCACTGCTCCTCTTTGCCAATCAAAACTCCTACTGTCTTGATTTGGGTGGTCTCAGCCAGGTGTCAGCAAGGAAGCGCTCTGTTTGCTTAACGCTATTTCCACGAAGTGGTGAATAACTACTTGACAGGGAGTAGTGGCACTCAAAAGAATTATCTGTTAATTCGAAGGCTCACAGGAGCCTAGATCTAGAGGGAAAGGACCTTAGGGGTCATCAAGTCCAACTGCCTCATTTTACAGATGAGGAAACTGAGACCTAGGGAGGTAGAGCGACTTGTCCAGGGTCACACAGTTAGTTAAGTGTCTGAGGCTAGCTTTTAACTCTGGTCTTTCTAACTCCTGCCTTGCTGGAACGTGCGGAAATTCTTCTGAGAAGACGAGGCCTTCCTGGTGGCCCTTGGCCCACTTGGCTCCCCTCTTCTCTAACTGGAAGGTTGCTCGCCCTTGCCTTGGGTCAGTTCAGTGACTCCGTGTGGGATTGCCTCCACAATGGCCTCTCAGAAGGTGCCGAGTCCTGCCTGAAAGCACTGAGACCCACAACTGACATACAGTGGGTCGTTACATTGCCATTGCTGACAAGCACCAAAGGCCACCGGAATTATAGCTTTTGAATGGAAAAAAAATACCCCCCCAATCAAGTCCAATCCATTTCAGAAAACATCACAAAGGCAGGCAAAGGAGAGCATGGATAGGTACACTTAAGGAGGCCAGGATGGCTGCCAAGAAAACAAACAGAACCTGCTTTCAAAGCCAAACCTCCTACAATTGTATGCCTCACTGGGGGCAGGGGCAGGGACAAGGGGAGCCTCACGAAATTCTCAACACACCGTTAACCTTGCTTGCTCCAGATTGTACGATCCCTACTACAAAGTCACACGAAGGCTTTTCTTTTGCCCAAACTACCCAACTCAAGCCAAAGCCTACTGTTTGAAATTTAGAATGATAGACTCAGGGTTGGAAGGGACCTCAGATGTCATCTTGGCCAACCCCTTCATTTTACATATTGGGAAATTGAGGCCCAAGGAGGGTGAAGTGACTTGTCCAAGGTCACACATGGGATCCTAGATGTAAAGCTGGAAGGGCACTCAGAGACAATCTAGACCAAACCCTTCATTCTATAGATTGAGAAGCTGCAAGCCAAGGAGATGAGGTGACTTGACTAGAATCACACATAAGACTTTAGAGGCCATGTAGTCCAACCCCCTTATTTTACAGGTAAAGAGACTGAGGCCTAGGGAGGTGAAGGTCATGTATAGGATCACAATTGTAGAGCTGAAAGGGACTTCAGAGGCCAGCTAGCCAAATTCCCTAATTTTACAGGTGAGGAAACTGAGGCCCAGAACTGAAGCTATCTGACCAAAGAGGCCAGATAAGAAGCCAGGTGCTCTTCCTCTAGAGCTGTCATGTCCCATTTTCACACCTTTGCCCAATAACTCTACAGTGGCAGCTCCGAGAGGACAGGGGCCAGGCCTGTTCTAAATCTTGTCCTTCCTCTGGCCCCCTATTTGGTGCTGATTGAACTCCATGCCTTTCCAATCTTGACCCTGTTGTCAGGATTGATTACAAAGGCTTACTTGTCAGCCCAGGGGCAGCAGGTGAGGGGATTGAGGCAATAGGAAGGTTAAACAACTTTCCTCAGGCCACACAGCAAATTATTGGGTAAGACCTAAGAGGCAGTGAGGCCTCATGTACTCCCATATAATGAGAACTCTCACTTTTCTACTACTCCAAGGTTTTCCAAGTACTGTCCTCGAAATTAACTTATGATGTAGGCAGTTTATTGATGATTAATTTGCCCCATTTCACAAAGGGGGCAGTAGAGACTCAGAGAGGGGAAGGAACTTGTCCGAGTTCACAAAGTTGCAAATGCCTGAGTCAGAATGTGAACCCAGGTCTCCTGACTCCAAGTCCACAATAGCACCACCAAATCCTAGGTTCTGTGCTCTCCAGAAAAAACACTTCTTCCGGAAGTCAGGAATGTTCCTATAATGCCTTTTCTTTGGGATTATCCCTGACCTAATAAACTCTTAGCCTAGCAA